AGTGTTAAAATTTTCCCGATCCGCCCACTAGGGGCATGGCAAATCGGACAATGCATTTTCCGATATACCAAAACTCATATTAGTTGAAGAGCTAGAAATTTGGTATGTAGGTCCGCGTCGACCACCCAAGATCACGAGCTATGGCGGATATATCTCTGCCCATTGGGGGCGTGGCAAATCGGATAAAACTGTATCTCCTAAAGTTTTAAATCTAGAATGCTGAAATTTTGCACGTGAGCCGATGCTTCGATTCCATAAAGATGGGTGAAAATATAATATATCTACGCCTACTAGGGACGTGGCAAATCGGACCCGAAGATATAGTGATTTTTCGAATTAAGCTTTATTTTGGATACTATTGATGCTATAGAAATTTTGTATATATACGCGGGTTGACCATCCAAGTCCAACGAGCTATGGTAGATTTATGTCCGCCCATAGGGGGCGTGGCAAACCGCAAAAGTTTATATCTCCTACAGTTTAAGAGCTAGAAGGCTAAAATTTAGATAGTTTAGTTACTGGTAGCCTCCTCTATCGGTGCCCCAAAATATAATTTTTACGCCTCGGGCGTAACAAAATAATATATAATATCAAAAAAATATCGAAAAATACCCTGTAATTTTCACATTTTTTGGGCGTAAGAATTCAAATTTTCATTTAGGTTACCGTTTGCTCGCTCTCTAGGGGCGTGGCAATCGGCATTTATAGTGCAAATATTGCGACATTTATATGCGTCAGCCATCTATTCATGTATTTGTACATATAAATAAGCTTAATAGAAGAAAGGAAAGAAACATTTTTATGAAATTTAAAAAATATAAATGAAGCTAAAATAACAAAAATTTGCAATTTACAAAAAATAGTTTTCCGCGGGATGCGAACTCGCCGAATAGCAAGTTCATGTCAAAATAACTAAAATAAAGATCGCCGGCGCTGTATGTATGAAAAAATAAAAAAAAATAACATCGAAGAAGTTTCGAACCTCCCCTATTGCGTCGCCTTTAGTACACGCGATACTGCTTTGCTTGATCAGCCAGTTGCTAAAAAAGAATAACTTAATAACAGAGCGTCATCTGGAAAAACTACAGTAACGGCTAGAAAATCCAGAAATCAATCGAAATTCTAAGAATGTGAGAAAAGGCGCTCTTCTGTCTGTACGCATAGAATAGACGATGAGTGTGTGCACATGTATAGGAAAATAGCGCTGATCAGCTGCGAGCTTAAAGACGGTATCCAATATATGGATATAAATATATAACAAAAACAAGTAAGAAAGTTCTAGTCGAGACTGCTCGACCACGAGAACCCCTGAACACTTGGAGCAATAGCGATTTCAATCATTTTTCGCGTCTTTCTACTTACACAAGAAACACACGCACACACACACACACACACACGCACGCACACATAGGCATACATACACACACACACACATACACACACACACACACATACACACACACACATACACACACAAGCACCCACGCATAAACACAGTGTTGGCTTACTATGAGAACTTAATTGTTTAATAACTTTTTTTGTGGACATACGATCTTGATGAATTATGATTATATTCAGATTATGATTATAACATGAATATGCATGTATTTGCCAAAGCACAAGTCTCTAGTATTTGAAATACGCTCTTTACAAAATTGATGGTGAGAGGGTGGATATAGGGGTGGGGAGTAAATTTTATCAAAAACCGAAATTGTATAAATTGCATATAAGCATACATAAAAAATTTGGAGACTAGCAATAAAGGTGTAGGATATAATTTCATAACTGGTTTTCGATAAAGTTTTTTATCGATAAAAAAAAGAACGGGATGAGTTATCGATTTTATACCCTGAACCCATTGAAAATAGGAAATCAGGGTATATTGGTTTTGTTAAAAGTATGTAACAGTCAGAAGGAGGCGTGGCACACAAAGTATATATATTCTTGATCAGGGCGACCGCCTTTTGGCGGTCCTCTTCTTCAGAGAAGCCCACAAATTCTCAATGAGGCTTAAGTCCGGGCCTTTAGCTTGCGTATCCAACACATTTTTATACCCTGAACCCATTGAAAATGGGAAATCAGGGTATAATGGTTTTGTGAAAAGTATGTAACACGCAGAAGGAATCATCGCAGACCCCATAAAGTATATATATTATTGATCAGGACGACGAGCTGAGTCGATATAGCCCTGTCCGTCTGTCCGTCCGTCCGTCGGTCCGTCTGTCCGTCCGTCCGTTGGTCCGTCTGTCCGTCCGTCCGTCCTTCCGTCCGTATGAGCAAAAGGATCTCAGAAGATATGAGCTAGAGAGCTGAAATTTGGCATGCATACTCGTGTATACCATAGGCAGCACAATCTTATTTTATTTTTTCGATAACTCATCCGATAACTTTTTTATCGAGAATAATCGAAAAATCGACATTGTTTTTTCAGCCTAATTTGAACACTTTTAGACCTGGAGACTTCAAATTGGCGTTGTATATAAAGTTAATGGATACAAAGATTTTGTAATTTATAGATTTTTGATACCACGCCCCCTTCGCCCCCAATTTGTAAAAAACGTATTTCATGTACTAGAGACTTTTGCTTTGGAATGTACACACATTTTAACCATATAAACACACTCTGAAAGTTTTCTTACTACAAGAGAAATTATTCAAATAATAAATTCTCATAATATTGCCCACACTGCAGCGCAGCCCAAGCGCAGTCGCTGCTTGCTGCGCAGTCAGCAGAGCGCATGATATACGTGCGTGTGGATGCGTGTGTATGCACGTGTGCATAAAAGAAGTGCAGAATGAATAGAATATCATTGAACATTATGATTATGTTCTGAAAGTTTCATTAAGATTGTACGCCTAAAAATTAAATTATTCAACAAATAAATTCTTACAATGTTGCCCACACTGCAGCGCAGCCCAAGCGCAGTCGCTGCTTACTACGCAGTTAGCAGATCGTGTTCTAATACGTTCGTGTGTATGTATGTGTGCCGAAAAGAAGTGCAGAGTGATTAGAATATCAGATTAGAGGGTTCAGAGTATCTCCTAGTCGAGCAGTCTCGACTACAGTCTCCTTACTTGTTATACCCTGAACCCATTGAAAATGGGAAATCAGGGTATAATGGTTTTGTGAAAAGTATGTAACAGGCAGAAGGAATCATCGCAGACCCCATAAAGTATATATATTCTTGATCAGGACGACGAGCTGAGTCGATATAGCACTGTCCGTCTGTCCGTCCGTCCGTCCGTCCGTCCCTCCGTCCGTCCGTCCGTCCGTCCGTCCGTATGAGCAAAAGGATCTCAGAAATTATAAGAGCTAGAGAGCTGAAATTTGGCATGCATACTCGTGTATATCATAGGCAGTACGAGTTTGCTTTATTTTTTCGATAACTCATCCGATAACTTTTTTATCGAGAATAATCGAAAAATCGACATTGTTTTTTCAGCCTAATTTGAACACTTTTCAACCAGGAGACTTCAAATTTTCGTTGTATATAGAGTTAATAGACACAAAGATTTTGTAATTTACAGATTTTGGATACCACGCCCTCTTCGCCCCCAATTTGTAAAAAACGCATTTCAAGTACTAGAGACTTGTGCTTTGGAATGTACACACATTTTAACTATATGAACACATTCTGAAAGTTTCATAAAGATACTTTTACTACAAGAGAAATTATTCAACAAATAAATTCCCATAATATTGCCCACATTGCAGCGCAGCCCAAGCGCAGCCGCTGCTTACTGCGCAGTTAGCAGAGCGCGTGCTTATAAGTGCATGTGTATGTATGTGTGCATAGAAGAAGTGCAGAATGATTAGAATATCAGCTTGGAGGGTTCAGGGTATCTCCCAGTCGAGCAGTCTCGACTGGAGCCTTCTTACTTGTTATACCCTGAACCCATTTTCAATGGGAAATCAGGGTATAATGGTTTTGTTGAAATGTATGTAACAGGGAGAAGGAGGCGTGGCAGACCCCACAAAGTATATATATTCTTGATCAGGGTGACGAGCTGAGTTGATTTGGCCCTGTCCGTCTGTCTGTCCGTCTGTCCGTCTGTCCGTATGTATGAACGCGTCGATTTCAGAAGATATAAGAGCTAGAGACTTCAAATTTTTTTTTAAATGTCCGTAATTACAGCGCGCATATCAAGTTTATCATTAAAAATCGATAACTCATCTCGATCTTTTTTTATCGATAAAAAACTTTATCGAAACCCAGTTATAAAATTATATCTTCTACACCTTTATTGCTAGAGTCTCCAAATTTTTAATGTATGCTTATATGCAATTTATACAATTTCGATTTTTGTTAAAATTTACCCCCCCACCTCTAAATTCACCCCCTCACCCTCACTTTTGTAATAAGCGTATTTCAAATACTAGAGACTTGTGCTTTGGCAATTACATGCATATTTATGTTATAATTATAATCTGAAAGTGTCATGAAGATCGTACGTCCATAAAAAAAGTTATTAAACAATTAAGTTCTCATAGTAAGCGCACACTGCAGCCCATGCGTGTTTATGCGTGGTTGCTTGTGTGTGTATGTGTTTGTGTATGTGTGTGTGTGTGTGTGTGTGTGTATGCGTTTGTGTATTTATGCGTGTGTGTGTGTATGTGTGTCTGTATGCGTGTGTATGCCTGTGTGTGCGTACGTGCGTGTGTGTGTGTGTGTGTGAGCGTGTTTCTTGTGTAAACTGAAAGTCGCGAAAAATTATTGAAATATCTATTGCTCCAAGGGTTCAGGGGATCTCGTAGTCGAGCAGTCTCGACTAGAGCTTTCTTACTTGTTTTTGATGTGGGTTTTTGATCGATAACAAAAAATGGGAAGTGTTATCAATTATTAAATAAGCTGGATCTAAGCGGGCATCACTTGGACCAAACTGTTCAATAACAAAACAATTATGCCCTGATTTTCAGTGGGATCAAGATATATAAATAATAACATTGTTTTTAAATACTTAAATTAAAAGTAAAGTCTTGTTCATTTTGCTTATTGCAGATCAGAGGCTAAAGAGTAAAAGTGGATCTGGACGTTGCTGTTCTAATACTTGCAATATATTGTAAATACCTTTGAGTTTAATGTACATAACAAATTACAACAATATTTCGTAGTCAGTAATAATAATATTTTTACTTATTTTATAAATTATTTATGCATCCAAGTAAAATAAAAATATAAATAAGGTTGCATACAAAACCGTGTAAAATATGTAATTGTAATAAAGCTATCTTTAAGAGCCTTTATATGTATTTATGTCAGAATATGCATAAATATATCACATATGTTTCAGCTCTTCACTATAATCACTAACCACAGAACACATAGACCGGACAAGTAGTGTAAAGCGTTTTGCACATTTTTTTTCGAGCATTAGTTCCCAGACCACTTCGTATTTGCTCGGCTCCTCACTTTTAGGCTCGGGCTACGAAAATATGGGAACACAAAATCATTTCGCTTCATGCGCTCGGCCGAGATGGTCGACTGTTGAACAAAAGATCCCTATATGCTCAATTTTTTCTTGCTCTCTCTCTCTGCTCTCTGCTCGTTCAAATGTGTACATGTATGTATGTATGCATGTGAGCACAAGCAGCAGCTCACGAAAATTGAAATTTCGTCGCAGCAAGAACCCCTGCCTTCCCTTCTGTGTGAAGAGTATTCCGAACTTTTCAACACGTTTGCCAAGCTCCTACAAAATATTTGAGTTTTCGTTATTATTTGTGGGAAGGGTATGAAAGCGTTGGTGCTCATAATGAAAATGCTTTCGCGACGAGCACATATACTGGCCAAATGGACCCATTTTAAAGGGTGAATCTGTTAGATGTCAAAAATCATGCAATTAAAAAATACCTATAAAAGTAATGAGAAGTGCACTTGTTACTTTAGTTAGTCAGCAACTTAAATGTAAGCGCGCCTCTTCAATTAAAACCCAAAATTGTTCACACCATTCTAAGTTTAAGAAGGCACTCGCCAATGTTCACGTCCCATGCCTACACACATGTACATACACACACGCACATGTAAAGGCACACACGCATACAAATGCTTCTACAAATGATATCCCATTATTTGTCTGCATCGTCCCCTGCGTACACACAATCGAACAATGTATATGTGAGCACTCCATAAGATCGACCAAATGCAAATGCTGGGCTTTAAAATTGCGGCAGGCAACAAGAGCTTCGCACACACGAATACAAATGCTCATAGTATATGTAGCAAGGGAGATTGTGTGCGTGCACGCTCGTCGCGAAAGCATTTTTATTATGAGCACCAACGCTTTCATACCCTTCCCACAAATAATAACGAAAGCGCCAACATTTCGCATGAGCATGGCAAACGATTTGAAGAGTTAGGTACAATCGACTCTTGTTATTTCAAACCTACATTATTTCGAACCACTTATTAATTCAAAGTTATCACGAGTCCCCTACAAAATCTCTTTATATTTCGAATTAAGTCCATACATTTTTATGCACTCAGTAACTCGAACTAATAAATCATTGCTAAGACGCAGTAATTCGTACTCATATGGTTAAACACTCGACAATTCGAATTTGTGAAGTTTCTTGGTGTGTTAGTAAGAACTTTGAATTTGAATTTTGGGACTCCCCTGAAACTAACTTTACTGTGCGTGGTTGCGTGTTACGCATAAAACATAGGCATATTTTGATGCTCGCTTCCGTACGAATCGCTTCGTTAGTATACATATTAAAATTTTGTATGAAATGAGTTCTAAAAAGTATAAAAATTTTCGATTGCTGAAAAGAAGAAACTAATTGGAAAAGTAGAAGGAGGTGAGAAGAAAAGCGAAGTTGCAAAAGACTATGCTCAAGTGGATATTTCAGGATCCCTAACCGATGAGGAAATTTTATCTGCGACAGATACGAATGAAAAGAGCATCGATGAAGATGAAGACGATACATAAGAACCTTTGGCAGCGGTGTCAGTTAAGAACATATGTACATTACGTTAAATACATTAAATAAAAACCCTTGATAATTCGAAGTTTTATTTATTTTCTCTTAAAATTTCGAACCATTTAATATTTCAAACATTCGATAATTCGAAATATTTTAAGTCCCTTGAATTTCGAAATAACGAGAGTCGACTGTATACTCTTCACACAGAAGGGAAGAAACGGGAGTCTAACGCAACGAAATTTCAATTTTCGTGAGCTGCTGCTTGTGCTCACATGCATACATACATATACACATTTGAGAGAGCAGAGAGCAGAGAGCAGAGAGAGCGAGAGAGCAAGAAAAAATTGAGCATATAGGCGTCTTTTGTTCAACATTTGACCGTCTCGGTCGAGCGCATGAAGCGAAATGATTGTGCTTTCGTATAATTTCGTAGTCCGAACCTAAAAGTGAGGAAAAAAAGTGTGCAAAACGCTTTACATTACTTGTCCGGTCTATGTGGTCTGTGGTTAGTTCTATAGTATAACAAAGTTGTACTACTTAGCATAATCGGCGCACTATTAGTATGTGCGTGTGAATCCAGTTATCCAATCGAGTATTTTCTAGGATTTTTGGCTGGACAGATATATTTGTATTGTTTCCACTTTGCAAGTGTCTCAAGTAGAATAATTGTACATCGAAGACAGTTATTCTTCAAGTCCATTTGCATACATATCGAAATAACGCTTTATACGCTGTAGAAAATAATATTCCTGAATTCAACATCTGAATTGGTTTTACCGTGCTACACACGAAGTCATATAGCCATGGCTTATGATACTGGAACAACAAAATACAAGTTTATTCATGCCGGTACACCGGTGTATCCTTCGAAAGAAAATTGGTGCTGCTGCCCAGATTCAGCGCCGAAAATATTATTTTGGAACGGAATGTTCATTGCTCGAAAGATAATTCATTCAATAAGTAATTAGAAAAGAATTAGTAAAATTTAATGGCCTTGTCTCATGCAATGTTACCAATGAATATATTTACCGTTTGTATAATCGTTACATATTCCTATCATTTTGGTATAAGAGCTTTTTCGGCAACGCTGGCTCCAATCATTTACAAAGGCACAAATAAAAGCTAATACGATTTAATTTAGCTTATTATTTATTAATTTAATGCCGAGTCTGTGGTAGCTGATTAGGCAAAGTTATTTCGATGCATTTTGGAATGCCACGCGTACTAATGAAACGCTTGAGGGCACACAAGACAGATCCTTTGCGAGCTCCAGCCATGTAGCCTTAGTTGTGAAGCAAACGAACACACAGATGTAGCATTTTAATGATGTTTTATTTCTTCCATCGGGCTTGTAATAAAAAGGCCGACAATAGTCTACTCCAGTGATTGCAAATGCCGGTGAGCACTGTGCACGCTCCTTAGGCAAGTCCACCATTATATGTTCAACTAGGCGAGGTCGGGATCTGCAGCAAATTATACAATTTCGCAACGCTTGGGCAACAGTATTAATGCCGCCTATGGGTTAAAATTGCAGTCGAATTGCTCCAAGCAAAGCCTGCGGTCCTGTATGCTGATATTTTTGATGAAGATGGGAGATTATAGCGAAGGTTAAGGGATGGTTTTTGGGTAAAATAATTGGGTGGCGCGCATCAAAGCCTAGAGTAGAATGTCCTAAACGACCACCAATTCTTAGTAGACCAAAATCATCCATAACGGAGATAGCGAAAGAATGGCGCTTGACAAGTGTAGAGATCGTCCGATGATAACTCAGGTGATTTTATTTTCCGGGTGAACTTATGAACATAACCAAATTATTCCGAATGAATTTATGTACTTGAATGACAACGAGATATCTACAAGTTCTGCCGACTCTTTGACGCATTTCGGGAAGACATGCTTCAGACAAGCAGTGCCAAGACAAGAAAGAAGGTCCATGCATCCATAATTTTTAGTGCAAGAGCTCCAACGCTGATGCTTCTTTGGATAACATATCCCCAGGATTCATTTCAGTTGGCACGTAATGCCATTACATGCTGATCGTGAACTGCTGTATGGCACAAATCTTGTTATCGACAAACACTTTGAATTTGGATGGCTCTTCTTTTAGCCAAAACAAAACCACCGCTGAATCTGACCAACAATGCATCTCACATTCGAACAAGTTCAATTTCTTTATTTCGCTTATCAAGTTCGCATGAAGAAATGCAGTGCATAACTCAAGCTTAGGCACAGTGAGGGTCTTTAGTGGGGCGACTCTAGCCTTGGAACAGAGTAGCTGCACTTTCACAGCATTCTTCTTCGATGACCGAACATAAACACAAGAGCCATAGGCCTGCAGGCTAGCATCGCAGAGGGTATGCAAATTCGACTTTTGCTTTAAGTTGGAGTACATAACGAGAAAATGTTGCACTACTCACTTGATGAAAGTCCTTACAAAATTCGCTCCAATCGTTTCCAAAAATTGTGGTAGGCTCTCATCCCATTGCAGCATGTCTCTCCACATGCGTTGCAGAATGATTTTGGCCCTAGTTAATATTGGTCCAATCAAGCATCGCGCAATGGTTGATAGAACTGATCATTATGTGTGTTTGCCAATACTAATTTTCGAAAGTGAATACAAAGCTATCCTTTCGAGGCTCCCAGATAAGTCCGAGAGTTCCATAAGTGACTATATTCAATTAGAAGGCCTGAATATCGTCGTTTGATGAGTTTTGCCATAAGATGCACTGAAGCTTGGAATCAGGCTCTGAAACCTTCACACACGTATAGATTTTACTAATGTAATCTGTAAGTGCAATGGCAAATATGCGAAAACGAACGACTGTGTGAAACAATGTCGCTTGAATAGTCGGTTCTGACATAAGAACATCATTTAATGAAAGCCCAGATGTGGTAACAGCTGAGCCGTCGAATACAACTCTCAGCTTTGTTGTCGAACTCTCTTCTTGGTATACACAATGATGAGGCAAGAAGTATTTGCATTTGGAGATCTCTGCGCTGGGCACCAGTGACATGCAGTTTAGAGTAATATATTCTTAAATAAATGCAGAGTATTTCTCCTTCAGAACATGTTTTCGAGCACACTTACGCTCCAAATTAAGGAGCCATCGTTTGGCCTGCAAATAAGAGTCGCCCAAAGATTCGACGCCTTGCTTTTTTGGCAAGCAGACTAAATATTCCTCTGATGAAAATCGACGATGAGTTGCGATGAAATGCATTGGTGACAATGGAGCTCCTCTGTTGTTACCTTCCCAAAACTGACGAACCAAATCATCAAGCCGATTTGATTGGTATCATCTGAAGCTCTTTGAGTTGCGATGAACAACGAGCTTTGGGGGCCGATTGCCCGTCACCTGATATGATCCAACCGAGCGATAAGCGATGCGATAATATGGAGCGACAATAAGCGAGAAAGCTCTACATGCAGATTTACATGTAATCGCTTAAAACATGTCAGAGTGCAAGCGAAGCGAGAAGAGCGCCAAAGGGACAAGTAAAGCGAGTTGCGAGAAATCATTTCTGAAATGCTTTCTCGCTTTATCGCGTAATAAAGCTTTTCTTATACGTTTGTTTCCATTGCGTGCTGAGCTCAAATAACCATTGGTTAGTAGGTGAAACATATTCTTTTTGGCAATTCAAGCAAGATTTCTCTCTTTCACTCTGACATGCCATCGCTTTGCAAATCGCTACGATAATTCTCGCTTATGGCATCGCTTTGCTTATCGCGGCCACTTTGACATCAGCCTAAGAGTAGACGACACGGAACGAATGTTCCAGCTCGGTTCTTAACAAGGATTATAGCAGTGGCTAGAAGCACAACATCAGACGAATGAGGCGATATATGAGCTTGAGGCAAAGAATGTGATATTGCAACCATGGCAGAGGGATGTATAGCATTTGTTTGTTGGACAGTGTTGGATGTAGCTACTGAAGACTGATTGTAATGCAATAAGATATGGTGCTTCGATTGACAAGTGCGGCAGGTACTAGATTTGCAATCTTACAACTGATGTGCCTGTCTTAGGCAATTTAGGCACAGAGCGAGTCTCTCGACCTCCCTATGTCGTGCAATGGGAGGCAATTGCTCAAAGCGCTTACATTGAAATATCATGTGGCTCGTGTCTTTGTAAAATACACAACGACAGGGAGTCTTGGAAGCAACAAATGATTTTCTTAAATGCGTACTCACGATCTTCCAGGATCTGACCATCCTGCCAAACGTGATCCACATCTTCAAGCATTCGACACCGCTCTTGCAAGAACGTTGACAACTTGGCCCACGATGGTAACTCATTAGCCGATGAGCATTCCTCCCATTTGGCCTGAGTGTACTTATCCAATTTCTGCAACACTGTTTACACGATGATACAATCAGCAACTTCTTCCCGCGATGCAAGAGAATCCATAGCACGAATTTGAGATGTGACTTTATCCGCCAGCTGCCTCAGCCTGCCCACAGATGCATCTGCCTTCTCAAGCCCAAATATCGCTCTGATGCGTGCCTGTAAAATAAAACTTTTATTATCAAATCGACGTTGAAGAATATCCAGAACGACGATATGTTAGCCTTCTTTATTTCTAATGAGCTGATGGTGTCTAACGCAGCACCACTTTAGCAGGATCGAAGATGTTGGAACTTCTCAATAGGGCTGAGATTAGAGTCAGCATCTATTATCGATTTGAACATAGAGAAATGTTTTCCCACTCAGTATATGTTCCACTAAATTTTGGCAATTCCAGCTGCGGCAAACGGGACCGATTTGCCATAACGAGCGCGGGATACGTATTTGTAATACTTGTATTAAGCGTCGAAGAAAGTTGTTGATTTGACCGACCTTCCAGTTCGCGCTGAAGCAAGGCCTTAAATTTCAGTAGAATTGCTTCAAATTTAGCAGATAAATCACTAGATATGGACTCGAAATCCGATCCCTCTAAGCTAGTGAGAACCGCATCGAAATTTGAATCTACATACATAGATTGGTGACAGAGTCCAAGAGCACACGTAACTCACACAAAACCATATGACTTAATGTATCCACGTCCAATTCGGCATATCGATTTTCAAGTCTATCGAAAAGCGCTTTCGTTTTAAGCTTTAAATAAGTGACCTGAGATGCAGGCACTTGATTAGCACTCGATTCTAAGTTATTCATTTTATTTATTTTAGTCACAAATTTAGTCAATTATGTTCACTTTTGAAAAAGTACTTAGCAATTACAAAGTTAAGGTACAAACCAATAGTCCCACTTATGCACATATAATTTAGCTGCACATTTTATATGCAAGCCCACTGTACGTATGTATGTTTGTAAGTGTGTGCTCGACACAGCTATTTTCGGAATAGCTGTGGAGACGCTGCACAAAAAGCGCCAAAAACGATGATCAACGGGCGAAAGGGAAAAATTATAAAGATAATCACAATGCAAAGCGACTGCATGCAAATTATCTGAGCTTTGATTTATGTATGTGTGTGTCTTCTACGATTGACACAGTTTTTTTTGGGCTTGCGCGCTTTCTATGCAGATGCTACTGAGAAGGCGCCAACCGCGACGAACGAAGCAACAATTAAAAAGGATGTAAAAAACTCAAGATAATGCACGCAAAATTGCGTACACTGCTATATGCAGTTCGAACGAGATGTTAATGTTTCACAAAGTTGTGTCACAATGAAATTGTTAATTTGAATGCACTATCTTGCACAAATGCGAAAGCACAGTCATTCCGCTTCATGCGCTCAACCGAGATGGTCAAATGTTGAATAAAAGAAGCCACTATTCTCAATTTTTTCTTGCTCTCTCTCTCTCTGCTCTCTGCTCTCTCAAATATGTATACGTATGTATGCATGTGAGCACAAGCAGCAGCTAACGAAAATTGAAATTTCGTCGCGTAAGACCTCCGTTTCTTCCCTTACGTGTGAAGAGTATTCCGAACTCTTCAAACCGTTTACCAAGCTCGTACAAAATATTTGCGTTTTCGTTATTATTTGTGGGAATACTGCTTTCATTTCATAATATTTTTTACGATAATATACCTCATTTTGCTAACTTTTTAAAAAATTTGAACAAAAAGAAGACCTACCAGTGCTTAAATCTTGCCACAATCGATTTTTTAAACTATTGTCAAAGCTCAGAAAATTCTCCAAATTTTCTTCCCCGTCACTTTGAGTTTGAATGTTGCTCATCCACTACTTTATTTAAGCATTTCTTTTGATAGCTTTAAGGAGTAATATCTTCCTCCTGTATGTCTAATAAATAAATGTCATCCCTTACGCCAGCATTATTATTTGAAATCAAATTTGAATTGCCCAAATGTAAATTTGGAACTGCATTGTCTCTGAAATAACGTTTGCCAATATATTTTCGTTCAAAATGCCTGTTGCATATTCTAGCCCTTTTCCGGTCGAAATTATTAGGTAAATTGCGTGCTATAATCCACTTGTTTAAATAAAATTCTTTAGACGGAAACGCAAATAAGCTAACCGGAAAATTAATGGAACTGTTCCTATAACTCGCGCCACACGTTTCAATAATGCATTTCCCGCCATTTTTCTGTGAATATTTTTTGACACCAACGGTTGATTTTTTTATAAAACTTGTTTCAGCCATAGTTTAAAAAAAAAAAAAACTATATAAATTTTGTCACGATTAACAATAGAAAACACTGAAGTGATAATAAAAGGTCGTTCAACACTCCCCTTTGCAGATTTAATTCGAAATCGCTCGCACAATTAAAAGCCCGTGGCAGGCACACGCCAATGTTCACGTATTATGAACATACACATTTACAATATACCACAGGCAGTTAGAAATTTTTACTAAGAATCGTTTCCCACACTAACACATACATAGTGGCAAATACATATAAAACGTGACTACAACGGACATTTGACGAACGTATTGAGAGAGAATTGAGTTTCGCGACGCACGCAGGCAAAAGCCCATATTATTAATGTGTGTGTGCATCGCGCTCGTTGCGAAAGTGTATTATTTATGTGTACAACAGGCAGCAAGAGCTTCGCACACTGTCATACATTTGGTTATACATGTACTAAGTGTGCAAGTGTGTGTGTGTGCATGCTCATCGCGAAAACATTTTCTTTATGCGCACCAACGCTTTCATACCCTTCCCACAAGTAATAACGAAAACGCAAACATTTTGCACGAGCATGGCAAACGGCTTGAAAAGTTCGGAATACTCTTCACTAAGAAGGGAATGCATGGGTTCTTGCTGCGACGAAATTTCAATTTTCGTGAGCTGCTGCTTGTGCTCACATGCATACATACATATACATACATGTTTGAGAGAGCAGAGAGCAGAGAGAGAGAGAGAGAGAGAGAGAGAGCAAGAAAAAATTGAGCGTAGTGGCTTCATTTTTTCAATATTTGACCATCTCGGTCGAGCGCATAAAGCGAAATGACTGTGCTTTCATATATTTTCGTAGCCCGAACCTAAAGTGAGGAGCCGAAAATATGGTGTCACTGAAAATCGTACAGCTGATTATTGCGCCTAAATTTCGGGGATGCACAGAACTTTTGCAATTGAAAGTTGCTGAAACTGTAACAGAAATTGTTCTCTCTGATTTTCTGATGTTTCACATAGATTTGGAGTAAATTTAATTTAAAATGAAGCAAACTTCCCCTGAGGAGCGGAAACTCGCGATTTTTCATCATAATAATGGAAAAAGCTATGCAGAAGTAGCAGATATACTTAACAGACCTCGAAGCACTATACAGTACATCATTAAAAGGAACAATAAGGATAATGCAGTTTTGAATAAAGTCCCAGCTCAATCAAATAGGAAGCTGGCAGAAACTGATGAAAGGTGGATAATACGCCAAATAAACGACAATCCTTTCAAATCCGGCTCAAAAATAAAGAACGAGCCAAAAATATATTTACAAAAGGACATCAGTGATTCAACAGTTAGACGAGTACTTCGTAGCAACGGTTATCATGGCCGAATTGCTAGCAACAAGCCATACATAAATAAGAGAAACCGGCAGAAGCGCCTACACTTTGGTAAGGAGTACAAATCTAAGTCGAAGAAGTTTTGGTATGACGATATTTTTTCAGATGAGTCGAAATACAACAAGCACACTGTGTGGAGAAAGCCAAATAAAGAGATGGATGTAGCCAATTTGCGTCCAACTGTCAAAAATGGCGGTGGGTCAAGTGGAGTCCAGGGTGACCGCGCCGGACCAAACGAAAAATACCAATTTGGTCTCAAAAATCTATATATATAAAAGAGAGTTGTGTAAAAGTGTATTAGCACTTATAACTCGAGATCTGCTGCACCAATTTTCATGGTTTTTGATTTGTTGGATTTGTCTCCGCCACGAGGCGGATCAGTAGATCTTTAAAATACTGAACAAATTTGACGAATACTTGAAAAACGCGGTTTTTTCCCTAAAGATTCAAATTTCCATTTATACTCAGTAGCCTTGACAACAGTGACAGTTTCGGTCCTGTATAGAAGAAAAATAAACAAATGTAGTCAGTCAGTCTACGGCACAGCCTCGAGCAGACCTGACTATTCAACAAAAAAAAAAAAAAAAAGACTATTCAACAAAAAAAAAAAAAAAAAAAAAAAACTATTAAAAAAAAAAAAAAAAAAAAAAAAAAAAAGACTATTCAAATAAAAGAAAAATAAATAAACAAAAAAAAAAAAATTTTTCCAAATCAAAAAGAAAAATATTTCAAATCAAAAATCTGCAAAAATTCAAAAAAATCAAAAGATTAAAACCTGACTGTTCAAAAAATAAATAAAAAATTCAAAATTCGAAATTAAAAAAAAAAAAAAGTTCATTATTAAAAAGTGTATTTTTGGCTTTTTATATTTTTGGACTTTTAAACTGTTGAGCTATCGAGATTTTTCGAATAGCTTTAAATTATTAAACGATTGAATTTACTTAGTGATTAGTTTATTAGCGATTATTTGAGTTTACAGAGTTTATGTGATAGACGCGAGCAAGCGACTAGGCTGTCGTGCTGTCCGCTACTATGTTTGTAATAGTCAATCTAACACTGCATCTGCTCTAAACAAGAGTTAATTGCATACTAATTACAATGTACGCGAGCCGGCGGATTAAGCTGAGCCGGTGCGTGGGTGAAAGAGACAACGCAAAAGGGAGAGCGTGATCTCCGTTACAAATTCTCTTACATGATAACATATTCTATGAACTGCCGCTCTTAATTACAATGAAGCGATGATTGCTGAGCCCAACATCCTCCCCCCGTTGAAGACTTAGTCTTCAACAGAATCCTTAAGGGGCAGCAAGCACAGCTTATTTGTAGCTCTTCTTATCTCGCCAGCTTCTGTTTTTAGTAGGGCTACCCGTGCAACGCCATCACTTCCAGGGATAAGTTCGATTATTCTGGCTAGTGGCCACTTAAGTGAAGGTAGATTCTCATCCTTCACAAGAACTATGTTGCCAACAGCCAAGCCAGGTTTAGAGGTTCTCCATTTCGCTCGCTGTTGTAACAAGTTGAGATATTCGTCCCGCCAACGAGTCCAGAACACCTGCTGGAGATAGCTTACGCGCTGCCAAGCATCCAAACGATTAAAATTGAGCCCGGTTAGGTTTGGCTCACTGAAAGACGAAGGAGGGCCACCGTTGAGGAAATGCGCAGGAGTCAACACGTCTATGTCTGATGGGTGCTCTGAAATCGAAACTAAAGGGCGTGAATTAACGACAGCAGCGATGTTGCAAACCAGTGTGCGAAGCTCATCGTAAGTTAGGACGGAGGACCCAACACATCGGTAAAAATGATGCTTCGCTGTCTTCACTGCAGCCTCCCACAAGCCACCAAAGTGAGGTGATCGTGGAGGGATGAAATGCCATTCGATTGAGTCTGCCAAACAGAAATCCTTCACAGCCTTCTGGTGGGTGTCTGACAGAAATAGACGCTTCAACTCCTGAAGCTGATTGCGGGCACCAAGAAAGTTTGTGGCGTTATCCGACCAGATTTGACTTGGCTTTCCTCTGGTGCATATGAAACGTTGAAGTGCATGCAAAAATGCCGCGGTAGTTAAATCCTTGACTAACTCCAACCAAATAGCCTTCGTAGCAAAACAAATAAACACACAAACGTAGCATTTCACAGGCGCCTTGTTTCGTGACTCAGGCTTGTAAAAG